TGTATGAAAAAATATATGAAATGTGTGTGAACATATTGAATGATATTGGATCTATTTGTGCTCTTCAATAGGAGAACGGATGCTAAAGGCCAGAGAGGGCATTCAGTACAGCAGGGGAGAAGAGCGGAGCATTGACACTTTGAAGACAAAGTTTGCTGACTACTGCGAGGTGCCGAAGATCCCCTATGAAAAAAACCCCTTTTTCACCTGTGTGGAGAGAGCAGGTTTGTATCCACATGTGACGAGTGTCTGACCATTAAATATTTATTGACTGATTAGTCATATGAAATGATGAAGTATTTTGATTATATGTTATTGCTGAAGTTACTTTCTAAGCAAAAAAGGCAGCTTTGCTTGTTTCATCTTCAAATGTGAACAATTTCCAGTTATTTTAGGCATCCCATATAGAAAAGTGAATGCTTCAGACAGCTGGTCAAACAAAATGCGATGTCACCTTGGGCTCTGAGAATGTGCATCTGACAATTTTCACAGTTTCCTGGCATCTGAATGAATTCATTTTTAAGGAAGTATGAGGAAATAATTGTCAGATTAGCTGATAATGAAAATAACCATTAGTTACAGCTCTGGTCTAGAGCAGTCGCAGGCTGCATTTACACAGTGATGAACAATACAAGAGACAAACAGTGGAGGCTGGAAACTATTAAAACTTTTACATGAAAAGTTGGTGGTCAAATGTAAGCTGGTTAATAGAATTCTTATGAAAAAGTCACAGAGTTGAGAACCACTAGTCTACAGTGTGACACAGCTGCTTACTCAGACTCTTTATTATGACACATCTGTTTCTAAAACCTTGAAAATCATCTCAGTCATTTGTGTTGTGTATTAACGTTAAAGCCTGGAGCTCTTGATGACACATAGTGAGGGATGGTGTTAATGCTGATAAACATACTGTAGACTGTAATGAAGAAACGTCTGCCAGTGATTACTGCTGATTTACTGGGTGTTGAGTTGATGACTTCAGCCAAATTCATGTGACTCAGCTTTCCAAAATTAAAGATTTAGGTTTTTGTGATGCTCGGCCTGCTAAGCCGTTTCTTTTTGTTGTCTGTATAATGGCTCCAATTACAACCTTTATCTTCCTCTGTGGTGTCAGAGATGAGGAGGATAATCATGGACCCCCTGGAGGACCCAGACTACACCCTGCTTGTGCGTGTGCAGGACCTGAGAGGGGCGTCGGAGACCGCGCTGAGCGGAAACGCCAGAGTTCACATTGTTGTGCAGCAGAACCTGTGGGTCAACCCTGGACCAATAACTGTTAAAGAGAACTTGGTGGAAACGTATCCTCTAACCATTGCAAAGGTGTGAAGGCTCTGCACAAAACTACAAATGTACAAACACTCACTATGGCTACTCTGTATCCAGTAATTAACCAGCCTACTGTGGCTTCTTCCCCTCTCTCGGGATCCAGGTCCAGTCTAATGAGCCTGATGCCATCTACACTTTAGTCCAGAAAGAGAGACAGCTGAGATTCCCTTTTCAGATAACAAAAGATGGAGATATACTCCTGACAGAGATGCTGGACAGGGAAGAAAAGGACATGGTACACAACACATGTTTAGTTTGCTCTCTCAAAACTCACGTAGAAATAAGGATGAACTTCTATGGAATATTTTTACATTTCTGTTGGTTCTGTTCTCAGTACATCCTGGTGGTGTTTGCACTGGATAACGATGGCAGAGAGGTGGATCCGCCCATGGAGATTCAAGTCTTGGTGGAGGATGTGAATGATGAAGTACCAGTGTGTGAAAATGAGGAGAGCGTGTTTGAGGTGCAGGAGGATGAGCCCGTAGGTAAGATGTGTGTACAGTTAATGCATACATAGATTCATGTATCTGAAGATGAGGATGTGGCCTCATCCAACCAAAAAGGTAGAAGAAAAAGTGGGACAATGAATTATCAAGTTGAAGTGTAAATAATAGGCTAAATATCCTGTTCTGATTTATACAAAGTGCTGTTATGTTTTGCACAATCTTTTTACAGTGTGACTCAACATGTTCCCCTCTGTTTCTGTGCTGACATACAGTATCTGGAGCTTTCTTAAATTTAAGAGCATTTTTAAGTTGTAAGAAAACTGATAAGTCACTTTTGTGGTACCAGGCAGCCTGGTAGGACAGCTGTTGGCACATGACGATGATGAAGCTGGGACACTGAATTCTCAGCTGACTTACACCATCTTGTCCCAGAATCCACCCACCACACCCAACGCCTTCTCCATCGACGCTGCTTCTGGAAGAATTCAGACATTACGCGCTTTGCAGAGAAAAGACCAGCAGGTCTATAATCTCACTGTCACAGTCAAAGACCCAGGTATAGTGAAACACACCTGGAGGTGGAGGTAAGTCAGTTTTCACCCCACACTGTAGTACTCACAGCTTGTGTCTCTCAGCTTTCAAGACAGTTTGTAAAGTCATCATCAGCGTCATTGACGTCAACAACGAGATGCCTGTGTTTGAGAAGAATGATGTAAGTATGCAAACTTTGCCGCCCCTTCTCTTATTTCTCATGATGTTTGCCTGATTTTCTTCATGTTTCTGTGTCGGTGTGCGTCCGTGTGCAGTATGGTAACCACACTCTTGCAGAGGACACCCCTGTTGGACACACAGTGCTGACCTTCAGAGCAACAGATGCTGATGAACCAGGCAGCGGTAGCTCCCTCATCAAGTTCCACATCTCTGCTGGCAACGATGGGGACGTTTTCACCGTGGAATCAGACAGAGACGGAGTCGGCCACCTGGTTTTAGCTATGGTACGGTAACTCCATTCTCTCCCTCATAAATACACACAGATGATTGCAGACAGTGCATTGACTTTGATCCCTGCCACTTTCTGAAACATTTAAACCTCAAAAAGCTGACGATTTTTCTCCCATGGTGTATGTTTTGTATTTGTGATATTCTCTGGTATCCTGTTTTGACTAATGATTATTTTACAATATGTTCTGACAATTTTTTAAAATAAATATCACATCTACAGTATCTGTATATCTGTCTATTCTATAAAATGCATACTGTATATTTAAACAATTTTTCTGAAAATGACCTTAAAGCTTTTACATATTTTTTGCTTTCCTTTTTCTGGCACTTCTTCTAACCAGCCTGCTTCTCTCCTCACAGCCTCTGGACTTCGAGTCTTCTCCCAACTATGAACTCCAGATTGATGCTCGCAACCCAGAGCCACTCATGAAAGGCCTGGAGTACGGTGCTGAGTCCACAGCCTTTGTCTCTGTGTCTGTCACTGATGTAGACGAGGCTCCAGAGTTCAGCCTGGACACCCTGCATGTGATTGTACCTGAAAACATCACCAAGGGATCAGTGCTGCTCGCTGTGGAGGCAAAGGACCCAGAGGGCAAAGAGATCAGGTAAACACAGCAGCACCGTCAGGACTGCTTTAAATTCAGTGGCTGTATGGGGGACTTGACTTGTTGAAATTCGGTCCATCTAACAACAGATATACACAACATTAAGACAATCCAGATCAGACCAAGCAGCAGCCACTACAGGACCTTTGGTGGCGTGTCATTATTCCGTTAATGAGCCAAAGCACCGCACTGGGTGACATCCTTTATTTCGGAGAACATAAGCGCTGTGGTTAGTTGTGAGTCAATCCCACATGGACTGTTCAGCTGCCATAGATTCTCATTAGAGCACCTTATAGTGTGTTTATTAATCCATAGCTACTGTACAAATAGTCTCTAGCAAATGTACGGTTTTTCTTGTTTGAGTAATGTTTGCTAAAAACTACAGCGTCCGTCTGTTTTAGGAAATGACTGTGCCGTTTTTGAAAACATGAAAGTACATATTTGTGTCCCATTTTTAAAGATTAATGTAGGAAGTAATGGAACTGGGGCTGAATGTCACAAAGAAGCCGTTTTTGAAAACATGAAAGTACATATGTGTCCCATTTTTGCCACAAAGAATGGGGAATCAGGACGCATTATGAGACAGAGTGATGCATTGTTGGTTTTGGTCTTTTCATGGGGTTTGTTGACAGCGGTGGTGGAAGAAATACTCAGATTGTGTGATTGCTGGTATGTGTTGTGCAGTTTTAAGTTGGACGGTGACACTCAGGGCTGGCTGGAGATCGATCCGGCCACAGGACAGATCAAGACCAAAGACAAGCTGGACAGAGAAACCCTGGAGACTTTTGAAGTCACTGTCACTGCCTTTGAGAAGGGTGAGATAATACAGGGACACATGTCACAGCTTTTATATACACTCCACAGTTTGAGTCAAGACTGGCTCAAAGTATGATGGTTACTAGTGAAGCTGAGAACAGTGCTGTACTGACAAAAGTAGTTTATATCCTTTAATTGTATTAAAGACGGTAGTATTTATATGAAGTCTCTGCACCTCTGTCATGCTCTCTGATTTGCTTGTGAAGAGAACCCGGAGAAGTTTTCTGAGCGTGTCTTGTCCGTGAGGCTGCTGGATGTGAACGACAACCTCCCCAAAATGACACACACCCAGGCCTTCATCTGTGTGAAGACGCTCAAACCTGTCATCATCAAGGCCCATGATACAGACAATGCCCCCTTCTCCCAACCTTTCACCTTCAGCTTGGGCAAGAAATCCCCCAACTGGGACCTGCAGAGTATTGACGGTATGCTAACACATATAGCGTATCACAAATGAGTTAAATTAGAAGACGCTGGAGAGGTAGAAGCTTGTACTTTCAAAGACGATCACATTCTCCTTGTGTGTTTTGCAGGTACAACAGCTAAACTGACCCTTAAGAAGATACCAATTGAAGATAAAACCTTTAGCCTGCCCATCACCATTAAAGACAACGCAGGCATGGGAGTCGCACAGTTGTTTGAGGGTGAGTTATTACTTTAAGTGAAGCTTAAAGTCTGGCCAGCAATACCATGACGACACAAAAAATGAACATAACTACTGTTTATGTATCCAAAGCCTGAGGGGGGGAATTGAGAATAGAGTATAGGCAGTATACAGGAACAGGTCTCAGAGAATTTTAAGGTTTGAGACAAGAGATTGTTGATGGACTAACATGCACGGACGGATTATGACACAGCGGGCCCATGGAAAGTGACACATTGTTTCTCTTTATGGTTATTTTTATATGTCGTTTTACATCTCCTTGCTGTCATTTAGTGTCTAATTACAAATGTTTTGTCTCGTGTTGTCCATTTTTTCTGAGATATACTGCAGATAAGCTCCAGGGGCCCATGACCTGTTCAGTAATTCAGCCATGCTAACATGTTGCTAATATATTTTGACAATAAGAAATACAGATATTGAACTCAGGCTTATCATTTAAAGGCAAACACTGACACTATACTGTGCGTCATGTCTCAGATAAAGGTTTAACTCGTTTGTGTTGCTCTTGCCTCACTACATTCCAGTGAGAGTATGTAACTGTACAGAACTCGGCTACTGCTACATCGCACCAGCTGAATCCAACTTCAGATTGGGAATGGGACCCACCATCGGGATCTTGGCTGGTGTCCTGGGATTCTGCAGTAAGTCTGACAAACACCATATATAATAAGAGTTGTATCTGGTATACTCGTACATGATTTCCATAGGGGTGCTGACTCCATTTTGTTTCCTGCTATAATTTACTCCTGTTCTCTTTTGTGTTGTTGCAGTTGTTGCCTTCATCATAGTGATCAGACGCAAAAATAAAGGGGGCAAGAAGAAAGAAGTGACTGGGGAGGAAGAGAGGAGCAATATGATGTAGAGACCATATATGTATGTATTTGTAGACAGAGTTAGATATTTCTAATTCTATACTTGAGGACTCTCACTGAGATGAAGCATCCCAACCTTAAACCTAACCTTGACCCCAAAACACAGCCTTAATCTGATTCCATTTTTAGTGGTTCCTGGTAAACAACTGGCCAGAGACCATTATTAGGTGAACATTAAACTTTGAAGCTAACTGCAGTTAAACTGTCTTTTTATAGAGTTGATCTGTGAGCAGATAACTACATCCTTAAACAGAGGTGAGGACTGGACAAACCTACCTCCCTTTCCCAATATATTCTCAAACTGGTTTCAATTAGTACCTACAAAGATGGACAGACACAGACATTTATTTTAGCTTATTTTATTTTATTTGTATGTGACAGCTGAGCTTGATTGATAGGTACTGTGCATACTTTAAACTGTCAGAAGGGTCCATATTAATCATTCATTTATGCAGGTTGTCATCTTAATTTATTAAAACGTGACTCAGGTTGTTCCATAATGTCACATGATTTACTCAGTGTTTGGTTCAGAGCTTTCTTTGTTATTCTCTTCTGGTTGAATTTAACAGGAAACTGAAATATTACACAACACTTAGAAATATCTTTAACACTGAGCCACATCTTAAACCCAAAATGCCACTGATATCACAGTGCTGTCTGTGTTATGTGATGAGCAATCACTGCTCTGTTTCCTAATAAACAAACTGGGAACCACTTTGATTTTCTCATTGTCGTGTACGTCTGCCTGTGTGGATGCAAGTAGTGTCTGGGATTGCAGGTGATACTTTATGAACCTAAAAAACCTCAGCTTCAGATTCTTAAAGGAGAAAATAGACAGTGTTCAGGTCCTTTGCGTGATACATGTGCATATATAGTAACATGCAAAAATCAAAGTTCGAACTCAGTACAAATTCATCTCTGCTGTATTTCTTAAGGCAGCCTTCTGATTTCTAACTAACTGTTGCATCCATCTTTCTCTCCCTCTCTGCTGATCTGCCGTAGAGCAGTCAAGGCCACGGTGCTGCTGCTCTGAGTCATTTCTTTGACAGTGGGAGACAGGTAACAGGTTGTTAGCCATGCTGAAAGGAAGATGACATAACATTGGGCTTTTATGCAGCACAAAGAGGCCTCAACACACACACACAAAAACATCCTGAATAGCAAAACACACAGGTTGTCGTGGGTGTCACATGTGCTGCCAAGACCATGCATCCTTGCAGTCCATGCGAGTTACTGTGTGTGTGTGTGTTTGAGATGAGTCACTGAACAACCTGCTGCAGCTTCCAAAAACCCAAACAGGAGAGCAGTGTCAGGGGCAGAGGAGCACGCTGAGCTACAGCCTCATGATGACAAACTCAACATGGAGCCTCTCTAGTGTTTATGTCTGCTTTCTCTATGCCTGTATCCCAGCAACACTTTCCACAACAACACACATACACATGGCGAGTCCTGGAGAGCTGGTGGGAGATGTTGAAAGGCTGGGTGACAGAAGAGAGGAGGCGGAGGAAAGAGAGTAAACTGTGTTGGATGATCTCAAACCTCACCATCACCACACACTTACACAGGACTGTTGGAGAACTCTTTTATCCTAATATAGAAATACTAAGGGTGCATAAAATGTCCATGTTCCCCAAAAACAGAATCAGGAATTTGTTGGGTTATTGTTGTAATAAAGTTCAGCTAAAGGATAAACAGTACATATGTTAAAAACCTCTGGGAGACACCGGACTAAACATCTGGCTTACAAGCGAGATATATTAGTAGGATGTACCTAATACGTCATCAGTGATGGAAGTAGTACTCAGATCTCTTAAGTACCACAGAGTAAAAATACTGTCAAGTAAATGTCTGTATTCAAAATGTTACTTAAGTACAAAAGTATTAAAGTACTAAAGGTAAAGGTGTTCATCATGCAGAATAACACATTGAACAATGTGTATCATATAAGTGGATTATAATTACTGATGCATTGTTGTCTACATCACATTTAATATTGCAGCTGGTAAAGAGGGAGCTAGTTAACTACTATACCTTACATGCTTTTAATTTAAATGACTGCTGGGTAGCTTGCGAATTTCCCACCAGGGATCAATAAGGTCTCATCAGAGTGTATATTTTGTATTAATCAAATTCTGAAAAGTAACACGCTATACAATTAATGGATTGCAGTAAAAAGTACAATATTTGCATCTAAAATGTTGAAGTATGAAGTAGCGGAGAATCAAAATACTCAAGGTACAGATACTTAAATTGTACTTAAGTACAGTATTTGAGTAAATGTTACTTTCCACCACTGGTACTTGGCATATGACATACCCAATTAGATAAAGGGACACTCATATATATGTTAATGTGAAAACATTACATTTAGAGGTGTCTATCTTTTCCACCCCAGCTACATACATGCCAGTATATTAGAATATGTATTTTTATTTTCTGTTACTTCATACTTTGACTTTTAGAGACAAAAGTAGTACTTTTTACTGCACTACATTTAATGGATAACATTAGTTATTAGTTTTCAGAATCACATTAACCATTCATACCTATGTGATTTAGCCAATCATAACCAGATGAAACCCATGGAGGCTTGAAGTTACTTGCTGAAGCAACAGGACTAACCACTGAAACACTGTGCCCCCCTACCTCTCAGAATTAGCGTGGTACAAGAACTGAAAAGACTTCAGTGCCAAATTGCCTACCTTTCAGAACAGTGCCCAAGTTCTTTTAAAAGAAAGGACCTGTTTAAAAGGAAAATGGTGGTCACACCAGATGGCCTAGGTTTTTATGTTTACTGCACATTGAATAGAGTTAATTGATGAGTTACACTATTCATGGCAGTGTTTAAATCGTCAGTTTTTCTTTTAGTGCCTGGACCTTTTGCTCAGTACTGTAGGCCTATTAAAAAAAGAAAAAAAAACAACAGGATTTTGAATAAAGACTGATTAATCGCTCTGGGGAAAAGCTGTGTGTCTGTCTCACAGACTGTGTATAAAAGATGGACGATCTGCCAACACTTCCCTCTGCTGTGCAAAAGTGAAGCCAAACTAAGGTTAATACGGTGGCTGCCATCTTGGCATTTTGTAACCAGACTGTGGAGTAACGACCAGAAGTGGAGTGACAGCATCAGACCGCCAATCACAGCTGTCAAATCATCTGAAATACACCTGATTTTATAATCATCAAACTACCATCGTCAAGTGCTGCTCAGTGGGGATTTGTTGGGTTTTTCCTATATAACAACTATAACAATAATAAAGGTAAAGTGTCCCGAGATGACTTTTGTTGTGATTTGGCACTATACAAATTGAATAGAATTGAACTACACAAAATACAGTATAATCATGAGCGGGAAATTCACAAGCTACACAGTAGTAATTCAAAGTATATAAGGTAGTTTAATAAGCTCCACCTTTACCAGCTGCAACATTAAAGTGATGAAAACAATAATGCATCAATAATTGTAATCAAATATGTACATTCATGTAAAGTGTGCCATTCTGCAAAACAACTACTTTTACTTTTGGTACTTTGCAAGTATATTTTGGTGTTAATATTTCTGTACTTTGGTAACATTTTGAATCTAGGACTTAGCTGTAACTGTAATTTTACATTGTGGTATTGTTATTTTATTTAAGTAAACAAGTACTTCTCAGTACTTCTTCCACCACTAACAGCTATATCAATACTAAAACAACATTAGATATATACTTTTAAAAGAAAGGACCTGTTTAAAAGGAAAATGGTGGTCACACCAGATGGCCTAGGTTTTTATGTTTACTGCACATTGAATAGAGTTAATTGATGAGTTACACTATTCATGGCAGTGTTTAAATCGTCAGTTTTTCTTTTAGTGCCTGGACCTTTTGCTCAGTACTGTAGGCCTATAAAAAAAAAGAAAAACTGGATTTTGAATAAAGACTGATTGATCGCTCTGGGGAAAAGCTGTGTGTCTGTCTCACAGACTGTGTATAAAAGATGGACGATCTGCCAACACTTCCCTCTGCTGTGCAAAAGTGAAGCCAAACTAAGGTTAATACGGTGGCTGCCATCTTGGCATTTTGTAACCAGACTGTGGAGTAACGACCAGAAGTGGAGTGACAGCATCAGACCGCCAATCACAGCTGTCAAATCATCTGAAATACACCTGATTTTATAATCATCAAACTACCATCGTCAAGTGCTGCTCAGTGGGGATTTGTTGGGTTTTTCTTTTATATAAAAACTATAACAATAATAAAGGTAAAGTGTCCCGAGATGACTTTTGTTGTGATTTGGCACTATACAAATTGAATAGAATTGAACTACACAAAATACAGTATAATCATGAGCGGGAAATTCACAAGCTACACAGTAGTAATTCAAAGTATATAAGGTAGTTTAATAAGCTCCACCTTTACCAGCTGCAACATTAAAGTGATGAAAACAATAATGCATCAATAATTGTAATCAAATATGTACATTCATGTAAAGTGTGCCATTCTGCAAAACAACTACTTTAACTTTTGGTACTTTGCAAGTATATTTTTGTGTTAATATTTCTGTATTTTGGTAACATTTTGAATCTAGGACTTAGCTGTAACTGTAATTTTACATTGTGGTATTGTTATTTTATTTAAGTAAACAAGTACTTCTCAGTACTTCTTCCACCACTAACAGCTATATCAATACTAAAACAACATTAGATATATAACATAGTAAAACATTAAGTAATATTTGTTATTCATTTTCTCTTATTTATTAATGTACACAGTATGTTGATGGTAGTATTTTTCCAGATCTGACATCATCCATTAAACAGTCTGATCCTGCAGCACCATCTAGTGATGGTGAACTGACCATCTTGTGAAAATAACTTCACAGGTAAAACCACTGTGTTGTTGTGCAGCTCCTACGTGTACCACTGAGCTCACCGGTGTACTCCACAGTGACACCTTCTGCCTTGCCAGCCCAGGTTGCAGTGACCCTCTCATTTTCATCCTGAGCCACTGACCGTCCAGGTTCTTGCAAGTCAGTGAAAGTTCCTGCTGCATTTCCTGGGGTATGTTCACCACAACAGCCTGTCAACCAACACATACACTAACAGGCAGCATGTAATTAGTGATTTATTAAACCGTTTCATATACAAAACTTAACCAATGTAAGTTACAATTTATACATACAACGTTATGTGTAACATAGTGCTAAAGCTGAATAAATAACCTTTAAAATTCAGACAGCTTCTTTCAAATGTACATTCTAATTATACATTTGGGCTTGAATACACCTAAACACACAGCCTCACCCTGTGACTAGTGTTTAAAGGATAAGGTCAGTCTTTTTCTAGATTAATAGTATTGGGTGACAGGTTTTTTTGTAATGACCCACCAGTCCCAACTATGCTGCCCCAAAGGCTCCGTGCAGCCATAATTTGAGTCAGAGTCAACTGTGCATGTGCAAGCTCTCAGCTTTGTTTACATTCTGCTAGCTCCTCGTGCTCAGGTTTGGTGCTTGCTAATGAACAATTGTCACCCAGTGCAGCAGTGTGTTTCACTGTGTTTTTAATATGTTTTTGAAAAACAAGGGTCTACGGAATATCAATGACAGACTTTGGAGACAGTAACAACATTGATACTAGCAACACATTTTTAAAAGTGTTAGCCTGACTTAGTTCTACTCCTAAAATAAACAGGCTTACACTTCATGTAGACTAGCTGTATGCCGTGAAGTCTTATACAGCGTGTGATGCATGCTGTCACAGAACAGACTGAATCAAAGATACTCAGACTAGGGGCCCTATTTTGACAATCTAAAGCACACCTTTCCAGGTGCATACAGGGCATATCCAGGCCAATTTTGATATTCTGATAGTGGAAAAAGTATATCTGCATCAGGTGGTTGTTTTAAAAGGGTTGGACTTACTCTCTTAGTGTGTTTTGGGCATAACATACAAAGAAGCTAATCCAGGACTGACAGACGTCAAGAGTGAGTGCAGGTGATTCATTGTCAGTTTAGGTCTCTGTATGGGAAGTGTTGTTATGCTGTTAATGCTGAAAACGACCAGCTTTATCCTTTAACTAGAGAGTCTCAGGAAAGTGCTCTACTTCTTTCACCACTGTTGTCATGAAGATTAAAATCACAAAGTGTAACAAACTGTTACTACACTGTTAATGACCTGCTAGGCAAAAAACAAGTTTAACATGTCCCTTCTAACCCAACAAAAAAAAAACCTTTCATTTTACTCCAACTGTTGATAAACTTCACAGCTGTAACAACTGTGGTAAAGTTCAGTCAGTGTGTTTGTTCAGAGGCTCATTTAAAGCACATACTGACCTTTAACCTACCTCTGTCACTCTATCCAAATTAGCGTCATAAAACAGACAACACTACCTCCCTTTACTGTTAACAGTTACTTCTTGCAGCAGCCTTTAAAAGGCAGTCACGCTGGTACCACAGTGAACAACTATTATGGTGGTGGATTTACCTGGAGGGAGACGGGACCGATTTAAACATGTGTAGAGCCACGACTGTTCTAACAATTTATAGTGACCAAATAATTCTGATACATAATATGATCAACCATTTACACATAAATAGCTTTGTGTACAGGGTATACAATTTTAATTCTGAAAACATTCTATTTTTAATCTGTAGCATTTTGGTACCTTGCTACAAGTCCCTGTCTACATGCCAAGCAACATGTCTGCACCTTGTGCACCTGCTTATGCCTGCGCATATTACTAACTTGATCCAACTTAGACCAGCTTTTTGTTGGTCACTGGCTAAATGTCCTGTTGCATCATCAAGATACTAAGTGTGCCAAAACGCACCTACAAAGGTGGACGAAAGTGTATTTGGTGACTTGACGGCGTGGGTGCTAGGAAAGAAAAAGGACACTGCATCAGGTGCAAGATAGGAAATTACACTTTGACACAGAACAGAGTGTGTATATATATATATATATATCAGTCTACCTGTGGTGGTGCACACTGCTAGTGGGACTTCATCACTTGTTAAAATACAGCAATCAGTAAATATCTGGACTATTTTGTTGCAGCTTTGTACACCAGCACACTGGATTTGAAATTAAAGCAGTCACTATGTCAGTCACGAACCTTTTTGGCTGGTGAGCCTTTAAAATGAAGGAATGTTGACTTGTGTTCCCTTGTGTTATAGGTTACTGCAGACTCGAAACATGTTGCAAGTAGTCAGAGCATATTCTTTCTCAGATTGTTTCATTTGAAGGAGTTTTAAAAGCCTGAAGAGGAGATGAACATCTTAAAGCACAACAAAGAGTTTCACCTGAAACCCAGTGTGCTGGCAGCTAAATACTTACACACTGCAGGTGAAATACAAAACACAATGTGTGTATTCAGACAGGTATGAACAGTATCTGATACGACAACCCTGGCACTGGGTGGAAGATAGGGGCCTAGATGTTGGAGCAGACTTGGGTGGGATGGACTCCTCAACAACAGCAGTGCTGTTCCAGGCCCCTTTTCACAATGCAAATTCAAAACCCAGGATGAACCCTGAAATATGGAATGTGGTCCGATATAAACGGGATACAAAAAGATGCAACAGGCCTCTGTTGTAACATCAGTCCCTTAGACACGGATGCAGCCTAGAAAATGAAAGCGCTTGTGCCCTGGGTGTAAATAACAAAACGGAGAGAGAGAGTGCAGTGTTATCATGACATACGCTAGTTTGAGGCCAAATCAGGAAAAAAAGCAGGATGTTTCAGTCCTGCAGAACCTCTAAGCTCTACTTAAGGTTCAAACCTTCACCCTCCTTGGAATTTCTATCATTTCAACCCCGCTGAGTCTCTCGTAAACAAGATAGTTGAAACTTTTGCTGCACAAATCAGTAACAGTATTTTACCAGCCATGAAGAATATTGGCAGCATAAATAGATCTTTTAACATCTTCTATAGCACTGTATACAAACATATATTCTATACATAAATAGAGTTAAAACAACTTCATTCAGACTACTGGACAGATATTTCTTAGTTTGTCCACAGAGTGTGCCTTTGTGTAGTGCAAGTGTGTACTCATCGGCACGTACATCTCAGGACTGCCCTTCCTGTCTCTGCGCTCCAAACACATGAGGGTTGAACTGAGCGATAATGATGGTGATGTCATCGCGGTACATGCGAGCCAGCTCCTCAGGCAAAGACAACATTTTTGACAGCCTCTCATGGTCAACCGTGCCAAACTCGTTGTTTCCCACCGCATGACGCATCAGGTGGGTTGCTGCGTTCTGATCCTCGAAAGCCGAAGACAACCGCGCCTTCCGCTCTTCGAGTAGCCCCTGCATTTGTCCAAGGGTGACCCTGTAGCCTCCGACTTTGAGTGGATGACGCTGGTGCACCCCTGTTAAATATTCCCCCACAATACGAACCACTTCCTGCCTGTGGAGGGTCTCCCACAGGCCATCGGAGCCAATCACCTACGGGGATGGACAGAAAACATGAGTCTTACATCAGATTAATGAAGTTACTGTCATTACTAGAGTGAGATCAGTAAAATACTACATATGTATCCTGGGAAACACTGCCACTGGCAACTAAAAGGAAAACAATTTAACCACAAATACAACATTTGTCTGCAGAGGTCATAGAGGTCTTGTTTCAAACCAAGTACAGAAAGTCAGCCATACAACAAGCAATAACAAGCCCTGATGCTAGGTAATACTTGAGGAAAGACACAGTCCAAATGTTCTTTTTCAATACCAAGGTGATCCCTAACGGTGCATCTTTTCCTAGGAAACCCTTTTTCAATACCAAGGTGATCCCTAACCGTGCATCTTTTCCTAGGAAACTCTGATGAGCAACACCAGCAAGAACAGCACATTTATCAGCCCAGAGTTTCATTTTGCCAGAATTATCCACAGCTGATAAAATCTGTTGGTGATGGTTGTTATTGCCCAACACTTTTAATGTTTCCTACCTAAAAGTGAGAAACCAGATCATCAATGTGATTTGTTTTTGTTCTAGCAGTTTGGAGAGGATAGAAATCTACTAGCCTGGTTCCTGACCTCTGTATAGCTGCTCTTATTTCAATTAACACAGAGCCTCAAATAGGTCTGGCGTTGCAGGCTGTTCACTCCGTCAGCCAAGCAGAGCTTTTTAGACAAGATTATGAATGTGGATGTCATTTTCCTACTTAGCTCACTAGTTATATTCATGAAAGGCAGTGAGAAAATTGGCAGCAAATGTGAATGAGTCAGTGAAGCTGTACAAGTTGTTGAAAGTCTTTTGCATATTAATTCAGCAATTCTAAAAAAATGTAGAAACAGAATGGAAATGTGTGATTATCAGCATAGAAGTATCATGATATTATGCAGCACTGTGCCTTGGTGATAGAGGATCTGCAAGTGATGGCAATGGGCCTCTCCTCACCAGGAAGCGATCCTGTGGCCTCAGTTTGTGGTACGTGATCTCAGGCTCAGCAGTTAGGTACGGGGGGGTGTGATAATTTGGGGGAATAAACTTTGTGTGCTCATTTTCATGGAGCTGATCAGGTCCAGACTCCAACACGCGCTTCTGCAGCTCTATACTCCACTTGAATTTCACATCCCCAAAAGCACGGAACGGCATGAGGAGGCCCAGCAGCCGGTCCTGATGGTCAAAACAAAACAAAAAGAGGCCAACAGCTTTTAATAAATGCTGTAATAACAACCACACTGAGCAGGTTAGAAGGTGCAGTACCTGTCGTATGATGGTTTTTCTCTCTGATGGCGGGTGTTCACGCTGTATTCGAGTCACCTCATCCTCGTTCTGGGCGTTGTGGTCATTAGAGAGTGTGAGAGCACTGAACAAGCCGTCCTCCTCCTGCACTCCCAACACTGCCCGAGCATCTCCTGCGTTGGCTATAAACCTAGAGCAGAAGAACCAAGGCAGAAAAATGATCAAAATATTTGACAAAAATCATAATTTCTAGTAGAACACATTTATACCCTTTCAGTTAAATTGTATGCACATGTTCAGTGTACATACAGGTCTGGTCCATCGACGTGAGCCACACAAGCTGTCGCTCCAGAAAAAGCTACTCTTAGAACCAAGTAGTGCAGGAAGGCATTCGAGTCTCCAACCTGCGTGACCAAATAACACTGTGAACCTCCAGCCAGGATGTGGCACATGGCTTAAATTACATGCAAAGGCAATGACACCTGAGCTTCTCTTTAAACCAGTTTAAAGTTTAAATTAGGACATTCAAAAGTTTTGTTGCACTGCTGTCACTAGGCAAAGGTGATATTCAATATGGGCCATAATGTGTGAAAATGTGCTCAAGTTCTGCACTTGGTGCAAATGCAAACCTGCCCTTCGATTCAGACTTGAATATCAATGACAGACTTTGGAGACAGTAACAACATTGATACTAGCAACACATTTTTAAAAGTGTTAGCCTGACTTAGTTCTACTCCTAAAATAAACAGGCTTACACTTCATGTAGACTAGCTGTATGCCGTGAAGTCTTATACAGCGTGTGATGCATGCTGTCACAGAACAGACTGAATCAAAGATACTCAGACTAGGGGCCCTATTTTGACAATCTAAAGCACACCTTTCCAGGTGCATACAGGGCATATCCAGGCCAATTTTGATATTCTGATAGTGGAAAAAGTATATCTGCATCAGGTGGTTGTTTTAAAAGGGTTGGACTTACTCTCTTAGTGTGTTTTGGGCATAACATACAATAAACAATCAAAATGCCATCTCCCCTTTAAAAGGCAGTCACGCTGGTACCACAGTGAACAACTATTATGGTGGTGGATTTACCTGGAGGGAGACGGGACCGATTTAAACATGTGTAGAGCCACGACTGTTCTAACAATTTATAGTGACCAAATAATTCTGATACATAATATGATCAACCATTTACATGTAAATAGCTTTGTGTACAGGGTATATAATTTTAATTCTGAAAACATTCTATTTTTAATCAGTAGCATTTTGGTACCTTGCTACAAGTCCCTGTCTACATGCCAAGCAACATGTCTGCACCTTGTGCACCTGCTTATGCCTGCGCATATTACTAACTTGATCCAACTTAGACCAGCTTTTTGTTGGTCACTGGCTAAATGTCCTGTTGCATCATCAAGATACTAAGTGTGCCAAAACGCACCTACAAAGGTGGACGAAAGTGTATGTGGTGTGTATGTGGTGACTTGACGGCGTGGGCGCTAGGAAAGAAAAAGGACACTGCATCAGGTGCAAGATAGGAAATTACACTTTGACACAGAACTGTACACCTGGCACTGGGTGGAAGATAGGGGCCTAGATGTTGGAGCAGACTTGGGTGGGATGGACTCCTCAACAACAGCAGTGCTGTTCCAGGCCCCTTTTCACAATGCAAATTCAAAACCCAGGATGAACCCTGAAATATGGAATGTGGTCCGATATAAACGGGATATTTTTTTTCAGCAGAGTTGAAGAAGAACTCGGACTAACTATGGGTTTTGAGCAGAATGTGAGTTCCTCAATTTAAAAAGATGATTTTAGAAGAACCAGTAGCACTGTTTCACATTAAGACGACAGGCAGTTCCTACCTGAGCCTCCAAAGAAATGTCTTGGTCCAGCCTTTTGAAGGCGCTCAGCAATGCCTCACGGGTGTCTGGAACCTCACCTGGGCTGAAAACACAGAGAGAGCAATGTATGGAGCAGGAGACCAGAGCCAGAGGTCAAGAACAGAGCATGGACGTATTAAGGGGAACAGAGACCAATAACAGCACTACTGGCAAAACAGCAGACGGGACGGTGTTGGTATGGACGTCTTGCTGCAAGGTGCCAATAAAGAACCAAGCAAGTCCAGTTTGAAATGTTAGACAGAAACCAGACAGGAATTTATACTTGGCTGAAACAAAATTGCCCAAAACTTTCATCCTCTTTGTTGATGCCTTAGTTACACAGTACAAGGTTAACTGCTGGTTATATGTATACTGTATATTACTGCAGGGTCACTCAGTCAAAACAGCCCATTGTCTTGGGTGCTTTTCTGCCCACGGGTACTGGGGTAACAATAATATCAGTGCTACACTGATGCAATGCTATTTTTGTCTTATCTTCAGTCTTGGCACCATAATGCTGTAACTGAAATGAATTAGAAAGCCCACATTGCTACTGCTGGCCTTTAGATTTTGTTGTGTATTCTTCATTTTGTTTTACAGACCTCACCTGGTTAGATCTATCAATTCCTGCCAGTAGGTTCGGAGGCTATTGATGTACAGAGACTGAGCCTCCCTGCTGAAGTAGTCATTGGGGTGTTTGTGCCACTGCAAGATGGGACTGACAGGCCTTCCGGCTTCCACTGCTGCCTCGAGCTCACAAAGAGTGTTGTGGGGCAACAGCGACACTGCTATGTAGTAAAATAACCTCTCACTCAGCGCCTGGCAGAGAGGAGGAGAGTCTGAGATTCAAACACTTTCCAGGAGAAAATAGTGTCAGTGGAACAGGATATAGCATAAACTAACTTAAATGACCACATGTAGGCCAATACTGGCAAGTATAAGCAGCTCACAGATGACTATGCAAGCTTATGTGAAATTACAAGAAATTTTCTTCCACTTCACAAATTCATGTCACAGCTACTTCACCTGGTATAATCTATCCTACAAAAAAGAAAATCTTTCCTTTAAATTTGGTCATGTAATGACCTACATGACCTATGACATACACAATGGTAAATATTTGCTACCCAAGTAAAGACTGGGGAAAATATCCATAAATAATTTGGTTTATTTGAACTGTATGAGTTTCTTGATTTATAAAAGTACAAATTAGTATGCTCCAGTTCCTAAACTGGTGAACAACATCTGTCAGTTTCTTTATGAAGCCTGATAAGTGTGTTTGCTTTACTACCGTAATGTCTTGCTGGTTCGCGCTCTTCTAACCGACCACCATATATCAAAATTGACTGCTAGGGACTAATTTAACTCAACAAACGCATGACATGCACAAAATAATTTTCAGTTGTTGGTTTCAGACCTGGTATGGTACACAGCAAGCTTTACCTGTGCACAGGCACAGCCAGCATGGCCATCAAACACACCCAGCAGCATTCCTCGTGTCTGCAGGCACGTGGCTGCACTACGACGGTCCTCTATAGGGGCGTTGGCTGGCAGCTGATTAGTCTCAAAGCCCATCACTGATGACACATTCTTCCCATCAAACTCTGGCACCTAGAACCACAACACATACAAATGGTAAGATGAAAACATAACTGTAAGGACGGTGAGAAGTGTTTTGTGTGTGTGCACTATTGACCCAACAAACCTTGAAGCTGTACTCGTTGGCTTTCAGGATAGAGTTGACCTGCGGAGGCGTGAGGATGTAGCTGTGTAGCACTGAAGCTGTCTGGTAACTCCTTGAGTGCTGGTGACTCCACCACATGTGGGACAACCATCGTGTGGCAGGTCGGTGGGTGATGGGCGCTAACTGAGAATGATGTTGTTGGCATGGTAACAGACTGGAGGCCAAGACCTTGGTACGGGACAAACCCTTGAGCAGCTGAGTTGTCACAGGCATGGCTGACGAAGGCACAGACAAACAACACACCACTGATGTATACACACACCTGCTGAAGAGGTAAAAACATAGGGTTCAAAGGCACAGCAGTCAGAAAGCACCAGGTGTTTAACAAGATGCATTCATCTAATGAGAACAAGGTGTCCTCTCCAGTTACCACTAAGCAAGTAATGTGCAAACAGAAAGAGCTGATGTAATGAGGTGAAACTGGGACACAAAACGCCAAATGTTGTTAAATATGACGCGTCAACAAAGCTAACAACAGTAACCACTGCAGTGGCCAGTAACTTGACATTTAACCATAATATTTTATCATTTATATGCTGTTTAACCTTTTGTATAATTTGCCATTTTTAACATCCACCCGGCTGGTGACCTTTCACATATTTGGCCCATGAGCAATTCAAATAAAATCAGTTAAACGGTTAAACTGGCTGTTCATTAACTGTTTGCAGTACTGGCTCTGCAGAAACACATAGCATTTTCTGTTCTCTGGACGTTATCAAGCATAAGCCATTACACAGCCAAGCCTACAGGCAAAGCCTGCTCTCACTTAACTCCCCCCATTAACCTCCTCAGCTGCTCGAAGGAAACGTTTGTGGGTCTTTCAAACCTCTATTAGTTTTCCTCATCCTCCCTTGGCATAATGTGTGGACACAACACAAATCAAGCTAACTTACCATTGTGCAGCATGCATTGCACTTTTACACCCTGGCACTCTCCTACAACTTAGACCTTGCTATCACAAAAGACAACCACAAATGGCAGGTATGCTTAGTATAACATATTTAAAAAGACTTTGGTATGCTCATTTCCAGCCATTTCATGTTTAAACTTGGGCACCTCCAGATTAGCTTTGAAACCCTCATAACTCCAAATAGTCTGTAATTATTTCATAACGATAAAACCATAGAGCCGCTTCCTAAAAACGAGAGGATAGTTTGTGAACTCGCACACCTTCTGCTGCCAGTGTTGAGTCGAAAGTGAACAGAAAGTATATTAATCAATCTCCTCCATACATTTATACCCTTTCAGTTAAATTGTATGCACATGTTCAGTGTACATACAGGTCTGGTCCATCGACGTGAGCCACACAAGCTGTCGCTCCAGAAAAAGCTACTCTTAGAACCAAGTAGTGCAGGAAGGCATTCGAGTCTCCAACCTGCGTGACCAAATAACACTGTGAACCTCCAGCCAGGATGTGGCACATGGCTTAAATTACATGCAAAGGCAATGACACCTGAGCTTCTCTTTAAACCAGTTTAAAGTTTAAATTAGGACATTCAAAAGTTTTGTTGCACTGCTGTCACTAGGCAAAGGTGATATTCAATATGGGCCATAATGTGTGAAAATGTGCTCAAGTTCTGCACTTGGTGCAAATGTAATGACCTGCCCTTCGATTCAGACTTGAATATCAATGACAGACTTTGGAGACAGTAACAACATTGATACTAGCAACACATTTTTAAAAGTGTTAGCCTGACTTAGTTCTACTCCTAAAATAAACAGGCTTACACTTCATGTAGACTAGCTGTATGCCGTGAAGTCTTATACAACGTGTGATGCATGCTGTCACAGAACAGACTGAATCAAAGATACTCAGACTAGGGGCCCTATTTTGACAATCTAAAGCACACCTTTCCAGGTGCATACAGGGCATATCCAGGCCAATTTTGCTATTTTGATAGTGGGAAAAGTATATCTGCATCAGGTGGTTGTTTTAAAAGGGTTGGACTTACTCTCTTAGTGTGTTTTGGGCATAACATACAATAAACAATCAAAATGCCATCTCCCATTCCCTTTAAAAGGCAGTCACGCTGGTACCACAGTGAACAACTATTATGGTGGTGGATTTACCTGGAGGGAGACGGGACCGATTTAAACATGTGTAGAGCCACGACTGTTCTAACAATTTATAGTGACCAAATAATTCTGATACATAATATGATCAACCATTTACACATAAATAGCTTTGTGTACAGGGTATACAATTTTAATTCTGAAAACATTCTATTTTTAATCTGTAGCATTTTGGTACCTTGCTACAAGTCCCTGTCTACATGCCAAGCAACATGTCTGCACCTTGTGCACCTGCTTATGCCTGCGCATATTACTAACTTGATCCAACTTAGACCAGCTTTTTGTTGGTCACTGGCTAAATGTCCTATTGCATCATCAAGATACTAAGTGCGCCAAAACGCACCTACAAAGGTGGACGAAAGTGTATTTGGTGACTTGACGGCGTGGGTGCTAGGAAAGAAAAAGGACACTGCATCAGGTGCAAGATAGGAAATTACACTTTGACACAGAACTGTACACCTGGCACTGGGTGGAAGATAGGGGCCTAGATGTTGGAGCAGACTTGGGTGGGATGGACTCCTCAACAACAGCAGTGCTGTTCCAGGCCCCTTTTCACAATGCAAATTCAAAACCCAGGATGAACCCTGAAATATGGAATGTGGTCCGATATAAACGGGATATTTTTTTTCAGCAGAGTTGAAGAAGAACTCGGACTAACTATGGGTTTTGAGCAGAATGTGAGTTCCTCAATTTAACAAGATGATTTTAGAAGAACCAGTAGCACTGTTTCACATTAAGACGACAGGCAGTTCCTACCTGAGCCTCCAAAGAAATGTCTTGGTCCAGCCTTTTGAAGGCGCTCAGCAATGCCTCACGGGTGTCTGGAACCTCACCTGGGCTGAAAACACAGAGAGAGCAATGTATGGAGCAGGAGACCAGAGCCAGAGGTCAAGAACAGAGCATGGACGTATTAAGGGGAACAGAGACCAATAACAGCACTACTGGCAAAACAGCAGACGGGACGGTGTTGGTATGGACGTCTTGCTGCAAGGTGCCAATAAAGAACCAAGCAAGTCCAGTTTGAAATGTTAGACAGAAACCAGACAGGAATTTATACTTGGCTGAAACAAAATTGCCCAAAACTTTCATCCTCTTTGTTGATGCCTTAGTTACACAGTACAAGGTTAACTGCTGGTTATATGTATACTGTATATTACTGCAGGGTCACTCAGTCAAAACAGCCCATTGTCTTGGGTGCTTTTCTGCCCACGGGTACTGGGGTAACAATAATATCAGTGCTACACTGATGCAATGCTATTTTTGTCTTATCTTACTTACAAAATCAGCTGGGGTTCAAATAATGTTTTCCCTGACTGTATATATGTATATATCCAGCGTGATCAGGGCCTGCCTGTAATACATTAACTCTCTCTCAAGTGTAGGAGACAAATTTTCTGTTTAGTTTTATTTATTCATTTTTATACACAACAACAGAGACATTGTGTTGATTTTTTGATATGCTGTAATCATACAAAGAGACACTGAACACACGCTAATTTGTCCACAGCAGATTAACATTGCGTTACCTTTTATCAACAATGCAGAGGTCCACAATAAACTCGACTGACTCGATCTGGACGATGTTTCAGACAGCACACACAACGCAGAGGTCGCATTAGCATTAACATTTAACCAACAAATGGTTCTACAATATGTTATATGTTTCAATTTGAAAATATGCCCTCAAAGATACAGAGCCAGAAAAGAGTATCGCCTCCGTTTGTTTAACTTTATGCACTTAAAATCACAAAATGATAAATATCTCCGGACATACCCGACACTTAACGCTGATTTCTTTTCAGGCATAAATTGAGTTATGATTTGATGTAAGGTTCATAACCCCAACTTCTGGGATAACGAAGAATGGGTCCGTACAACCCTAACCCCACGGTACTTTCAACCCGATATTATTGCGACTCTTACTGTACGTTGAATTCTGATATTGATGTTCCGGGACCGTTCACTTTGTTCTGTCCTGAAGTCAAGAAATGTGTAGCACCAGCAGAACACGTCCCGACCTCTGGCTCTCTGCACTCTTCTGCAGCGACCGGTCAGCTGAGCTGCACGGCCCGCTAAAAATAGCTTTGACAGTAATTTCAACCCTGACATTTGTTTCTTGAGAAATGCGCCCTCGGGTCATGACCTATTGAACTGGACCTTGGCTGTCTCTCAACGTATAAACTTCCCTCATTGCATAACTTGGTTGATCTGCAATCCTCCAGTGACACCTCATTTTAGACAGTCTAGTTCTAGAGAAAAGTGAGGTAGCATAGGTGAAAATATACTGTGCTCAAAGGTTTTAATGAAAAACATCCTAACAAGAGTGACTGTACTGTGCTGCAATAAGCTGGGCAGCCAAAAATCCCCCACACCACAGAGGACCCTCCCACTTCTGAGCTCTGCAATAAAATTGCCATATTTGTTGACATAACTAGCCTCCCCTAGCCAGTAGCAAGTCCACAAAACTGTAAGCTAACCTCTGTGCTCGGAGCTGCTATACAGAAAACCTGTCTCAGAACTGGGAAAGGCTTCCAATCGATATCTCATTAATAGATAATTAGTGAATCAACTCTCAAACAGATACGACATATATCCGTCAACCAGACGGAGCAACCAAATTCATCGTGCTAACGGCGGTTACACCCACCAGCTGTTGTCAAACTGGACAATGGCTACTCACATAAGACGCGACTGCACCGGTTCAGACCCCTCAGCTAAACTGTATATAAAGGAAAGGTGTAAAAGCTAATCTCAAACTCACCTTAACCGATTGCTGTGAAAAAGTTATCCAAATTCATGACTGAACACCGAGAGTCCTATCTGTGTCGTTCTAGAGCGCCGCACCGCGACCTGATCGCTCATTGGCTAAGAGCCCTGACGGCCGTGATGTCTTTATTTCTTTCATTTGTAAGTTTTATTGGCAGTTGGCTACAACTTCATAGGTGCATTACCGCCACCTACTGGACTGGAGTGTTGATTAGTAGTAAAGGCGGGGATTTATAATTCTTTATTATCGGTCTCCTTGAAATAATCCATCAAAACACTAAATACTTTATGTAAGGTTCGTCCTAACAAACTCTGAAAAGTGACATCCAATTTTCTGCCTTTAGTGCACATTTTTGCAGACAGCAACAGAGTGACTCAGACCTAGATAACAAAAAGAGAAATTGCTACTGCATAAAATAACCAAACAAATGTGTGCCTTGGCTAATCCATAAACCATTGAAAAATTCATATTAAAATTAGGTTCTACCACAAAAGTCTTTCTGAGTGTGTAACCTTGTCCACATTGGCTTAATACTGTATATCCAAAATTTAAGATAAAGGTATGATGGTATGTGATGGTTGTAAAAGAATGTAACATTTGTAAAATGTCTTACAATATTTATCTTTGTCCACTTGTAACTTTAGCAACAGAGATTTTTCATTATGCAAACATATAAATTCTGTGATTACCATAAAACCTTTAGATAATCAATTGTTATTAAAATGATCTCAGGCGTAAACATAAAATAAGACATCTTCACATCAAAACATTTTAATCCATAGAAACATCCATATCTTTACAAAAACTGATATTTACATCAAGAAACTGCAAGGAAAAGGCTGTATATGTTCAAGTACAAAAAAGAGCAGAAACATCACTCTCACTATCAACTACTTAGCATGGACTTATGGACTTTTATATCAGAAATCTCTCATCCACCATAGTCTTGCGGGCGAGGTTCTTCCTTCCGAGAACATCACGGATCAGGCAAAATATCTGTGATGAATGAGATAGTATTCAATACACACTGTCCATAGCACAGTGAAAGCAACATGCTGTAAACACCAAATACTGACCATTTGCTGTATGTATGTAAGCACAGCTGCAAGTACAAAGCTCTGAGAGCCGAGGTCGACAACACAGAAGAACAAAGTGTCAAAGATCAGTAACGTGGCCTCATTTCCATAGAACAGCACATCACTGAAGGAGTGTGGCTCATCTGCAGTGAGAAACACAGATAGACATTACTATAGTGTATATAGATACATATGCATATAAACAGAAATTGTACAGCCTGTCTGGGAAAGTAGGTCGTTACCATTGTAAAAGATGCTTTTCTCAGTGGGTTCTAGGAACTCCATCCCTATGACCCGCTCCAACATCAGCTTGTCCTTCACTATATAGTCCATGTCAGGGTAGGCCTAAGGCAAATATAGCAACATCGCAAATAAACAAACTCATCCATACAAAATATTTCAGGTCAATGAAAACAACTCATGTACTGTACTTGACAACCTAACAAACAAACATCCAGATCACATTTTCCTTATGTCCATTTGTACTAACATGGTCTATAATGGATCCCAGGAAGTGGTTCATGGTGTAGTAGGCCTTGATTTTGTCAACCCCATTGACCGTGGATGCGTCCGTCAGTCGTGATGGGGTGTTCCCCTGGAGTGCAGGAGACCATTTAAATAGAACATTGATACAAGACTTTTTTTGGTCTTCGTGTTTATAAAAGCGTTAGAAGCATGCTCAAGACAAGCACACACCCTCTTGAAAGGCTCGTGTATCCTGTCATACTGTAACCGCAGACGGTTGGTAATAGAGACCTGAAAGGTTTGGACATCTGTGTTGGGAAGCAGTCCTCTCTGGCCACACAGGGATGCCTTGTGAGACAAAAAGACAGAGGGGAAGAAAGAAAGTGGATGGATGTAATGTGAACTGAATAATGTCATAAATATCCTGTAATCACTAAACCAACATGTAGTCTGCTGGTCTACATACGCCCTCTCTCTTCAGATTATTGTTCATTTCTTCCATATTTGTATCTGCATGCCCATGAACTGAACGCCCATGGATGTAGTAGCCAAAACAACGGTGAGACAACAGCAAAACAGAAATCTGTAGAGAAACAGAAAATATTTGTGATTTGTTACATTGGACTATATACATTCAATACAACTAACCTGACAAGATACACTTATGTACAACATTACAGACAAATTTGTTTAATATATAATATACACAGTGCTACTTACATTGCTGATGGAGCAGAGATCTACAAACTGACGGATTTTGTCCTCTACAAAGCGCTCATAAAACACAGTGAAGAAAATCACCTGCAGGGTTAAATGATTATCTTTTAAAGGAGCTCTACACACTCATATTGGGAATATATCCCTAATTTCTTAAGAAAGACTGGAAGAGGTGAAAGGCCAAAGGGAAGTGAGAGCAGAAAGAGGTAAGAGTGAATGGTGGAACTTGTACCTGCAAGAGTCCGATACAGAGCCACAGAGTGGCTGCCAGACCATAGCGCAGAGTCAGGCTGTATGAAGGGGTGTACGCCTGTGAGGAGCGCTGTAAAGATGACCAGGGGTCCCTCAGGGCAAGATTAGAGAAACCCAGCACCTGAACAATACAGGGCATCAGCAGTGAGGAAAAGGGACATAACAAAAGCTGAATGTATGTGCTGATGTAAGATGTACTTCAAGAAAGAAGAGCACAGCCATGATCTGAAAAGTCGGGCTCATCTTGCGGATGGTCTGGATCTCGTTCCATTCGTTGGCCACAAAGTAGGTTCTCCAGATGCTGATCGGAGAAGTGTCACGTTTCGCCTCACCAGAAGCTGAAACAGCAGTTAATATGGTAAATGGAATAAAATGACTGGATAATTACTTATTATGAAGACTGCCAAATTTGGAGTAAGTATGTTTGTACCTTGCACAGTCCTGCTAGCTTGGCTTCGTGGCCTCTCCCAGTCGATAAGGAACACGTCGACTGACACCTGAACAATCAGCTTGTGGAGAAACTGGACAGCCTGGTTACAAATACACAAACCAATACTTTTTCAGCGTTCTTAAAGGAAGAATACCATCTAGCTTTTAGGGTAATACTGCTCATTTTTAACTCTGATCAGTAGGTGTCTAACCTTGAGAGCGAAGGCACAACCAATGTACGTCACAAACTGTTTCTCCTGATCAGGCAGCGGTAACAGCACTGATACAAACTGCTGGGCCTAAACAGACACACAAATGAATCTCAGAAAACAGCCAATAATAATCACATCTAAATCTATGCAATAAAAACTGCTCAGGAAAAGAAGGTAAAGGAGGAAAAAGACTTGCCTTTAATGTCCAAAGAGTGCAGAGAGGAAAAGAGTCAAAAGTCCATGCAAAGAAACAAAAACACTCTTTATGTTTGGAAAAGTTAAAATAAAGCTCAAAGGAAAAAGCAGAAAGATGATAATGGTACAAACATTAAAGACTACACAAGTGTGGAAATCATCAAACCTATAACAGACAGACCTACAGTTAAAGGGAATGAGACTAACCTTGTAAAAGATGAGCCAGTAAAGTCCAATTCCCACAGTGACAGCAAAGAAAACGTTGGCCAGATCTCCAGCGTAAAACAACAGAAACTTCAGCACAGTCTGAGGCAGAAGAGGGTGGGTGAGTGACTAATGCTACTTCCAAAGTATACAAATATGAATTAAAGTGGTGTAAAATACGACATGTGAAAGAGACTGTACCCCCAGATCAATGAGAGGAGAGGCAATCCTCCTCTTCCAGCTGACTGTTTTCAGGAGAGAGTAAAGCACGGCCACGCCACCAATCACACCCAGAGCAGTCTGTGCAAACACCAGAATATCAGAGCCGCAGGTGATACTGTATCACTGCTGTGACAAACACACACAGTCATACATACACAAGAGCCTCTCCTAGACATTTCATTCATACTTCTACTCACATCTTCCTTTAGGCGAGCCTCACTCTGATCCATCTCATATTCCACAGCAAAAGTGGTCTACAAACAAAATTATATAATGGAGAACACAGGCCAATTTAAAGTCAAGATAAAAGCTTCTTGTTTTTCTTCAACAGAAAGATTGGACTGGGGTTAGGCAACAGGGCCACAACTATAACATGGTTTCAGCAGGTTTCATGAAGTTGTATTTAAGACGTTTTAAGACCTTTTTTAGATCACTTTAAAGGCAATTTAAGACCTACTTCAAGGGTAGGAATCACTCCAAAGAAGGGAAAAGTAAGTTGTTTTTTGGGGGGGTGGGTCAAAATTTTTACAGACTCTATATAACTTCAATCACAAATTCAAATATATTTCATGGCTTAAAGAAGCATCTATCAGCCAGTAAGTGACCACAGTTCGATCAGTTCTGATCAGGCTGCAAACTTTAGAAATATTCTTGTTCCAAGTTGGTTTGGTTTTGTAGTTGTATTACACCATGATAAATACAAGCTGACAAGAGAAAGATCTACAATGTGGAAGCAACATATCACAGGTGGTAACACTTTGTTGCCAAAATATTTTCCCCAAAATACATAAAAGCACAACTTAAGTTAATGTGACATTATAGAAGTAATGTTAACTTAGCATTAAAATAATCAACTTAACCAAACCATGACCAGTTTTTAAGACCTATCAAAATTGTATTTAAGACCTTTTTAAGACTTTTTGAGGCCTAAAATTCTGATTATTGGATTTTAGACTTCTTAAAGACCCACGGAAACCCTGTATAAAAAGACACATTTGTAAGTGTAAGTGTGTGTGTGTCCTACTTACAGACACAGTCTGTGTCTTGATATCTGTGAGGAGAATGTCACTGTAGGTCACAGTCATTAGAGGGGGATATACCTGTCCTTCCTGGGTTCGCGGAACCAACAAGAACCTAACAAAAACATTTTGTATTAAAAATATCACCAGAACAGTGAGAAAAGGAAGATTTGACTTTCTTGTTTTTTTAATCGTGGTGATGTGCAGATTGCCGACCTAATTTTGACACTGCTGGCCACACGGATGACTTTAGGCTGGTAACTCGTACTCTTCTCTCTTCCGCTCAGCGTGTCAACAAGAAACATCCGTCGAGACAGGTACCACTCCTTTATGTTCTCTGTACAAAGACAAATTATCATAATCAAATGCTCACACACACACACACACACACACACACCTAAAAAAATATAAAATAAAAAACTGCACCTTGGTTGATGAACCGTCCATTGTATTGCTGGTTATAGACTAGTGTGGGCAGAGGGAGAAGTTTTGTGTCCTTTTCTCCACCAAGGTCCATAAACACATCGTAGAACAATGGCTCAGGATGGGTATCCAACAGCTTTTCTACTGAAAGCTCACACTACACACACACACACACACTGCTAGTAACACAACTATGCAGTACAAGAGAGTTTGAGCTAAGTAAAAAAGAAACACTCACACTTTCCTGGTAAGAGGTTCCAAAGCTGAAGGCTGCTGCCTGTTTGGTGGCTCTTTCTGGACACAGCTAAATGAAAGAGGAATAGAAGAAAAGTATACCAGTCTCCTATAATTTTACACTTTGCATGAATAACATAAAAATGCTTAATTTATTTAACAGCATCAACTGATAATTTTTTGCTCTTAACATATAAAAGAGTGGTGGGGAACAGTGATGGTGAGTTGGCTCTACCACCAACACATTTGAGCAAACAAGAGGGTTTAAATACAGATTTAATAATAAAGTTCTTGTCTATTCAGATTAAGTATTCAGTTTGATGATCATTTCTTTGACATCTCACCTGGAGATTACCTCCTCCTACTAGTTCCCATCTGATGAACTCTCCTCTGACATTATAGACAGCAGCACGCAGCTTAATGTCAATGTTCTGTCAAACAAACAAAATATGTCAATTGCCAGAACACTTTTGTACTGGTCCAGGTTTACTGCACAATCTGATATACTGTGTAATAAACTAATATTTTTAGTGTTATTCTGTTCTTTTTTTTAAACTGTGCTTTAAGTTAGTCATTTACTTTCTTTGGCCCTCGGAAACTGAATCCAATGGGAACAGGATTGGTCTGAAGCACTCGACTGGCCAGTCCAGGCTCCTCCCCATAGTAAAGCCAGGGCAGATTAGCTCTCCTGGAAACAGTGACACAGTGCGCATTGTCCACTCTGAGTGAAACTGGATTAAACAGGAATGAACATTTGCTTGTTTCAAATAAAACCTGTGAAGATATCACAATTTTTTACATATAATACAATGCCATGACAGAGCTTATTACCAGTAGGAAATGTCTTGAGTTGAGCTTGCAGCAGCCCTTGATTTATAAATGGCATTAAAGAGACCACAGGCATCAGTGGATATGCCGCTGAATGAATGCATGTTCATCACACACATGTTCCCGAGAGCCTGGCATGCCGTCAGGTTAGAGAAGGCCTGTAAGCAAACCACCTGGTTATACACAACCACTAATCACACATAAAAACACAGCACAAAAATCCTCACACCCCCAATGGCACCCCCTGTGGCACAGTTGTAATTATGCACAGGAATCTCTTTTTAAGAGTCATCTCATAAAGAAGATAATACTTCAGTTATTTCATTACATGTGCTTATTTATGAAATATATTTTGGCATCAATTACAATGAACATTTCTGTGGTTTTTCATATGTTCATAAACACCAACATAACATAGCATCGCAAAATCCCAACTATTCTCCTGTGTTATAATGAGAATGCCATTTGTGTCGGTGTGCGGCTGTGGCCAGAACTAGAACGGGCTTCATAAAAAAAGAGATATAGCGTTACAAGGCAGGCTGCTGATGTGGAGTAGAGGTTTTGCACAAACCAGGCAGACTGAAGACTGAGCTTCTGCAAGAGAACAGAACACAAATCACTAATCAAAGTATATCAAAATGAAGAAAAATATACTAAGAGAGGAGAAGGAGACGCACCAACTGAGCATAGCTGACACTGGGATTCACACTGGTGGAGAGGGCGTCTGAAGGGAAACATAATCCTCCTCCCTGGAAAATCACATACCAGCCATTGATGGCACATACATTTTATGAGTGTGCTGCTGAATGGTGTGCGTATGATGCTCAAGAGGGTACTGTGGGCAAAGGGTTGACTGAACTCACCAGGACGTTTGGAGGGTTACACTCACAGGAGGTGGCAATGAAGGAAGCCTGACATCTTTCACACCTGAAAGAGAATTGTGGAGACCGTCCCATCCTTTACATATTGCACAAAGAAAACCTAAAATCCCATCAGCATTTCTTCACACTCTGACAACAACACACCAGCAGTGTTAAGAGAGAGTGAGCAGGAAGAAGCCATTTGTCAGAGTAAACAAATACAACAAAATACAATATGTCATGGGTGCAATAAAATACATCCTTGCAAGGATGGGGGTCATGGACTGATGCTTATGAGAGGTACAGACAAATGAAGACAGTGAATAAAACTGCAGATATGAGAAGGTGAAACAAGAAGTGTTCAAAATGACAAGAAGTGCCAAAGAGAGAAGAGACAACACTGTCAAATTAGGTTTTGAAGACAATTAAAAGAATATTCTCCAGCTCTCATATTCATTCAACAATTTTTGCCCTTCAATCCATAACCTAATAGAAGATTCTGCACTGATCTACTATACTCATTCTTATACATGAAAACATACTAGACATGTTCACATGTGTTAGGTAATTTCTTAGTCAGATAGATATTTGTTAGAGATTTGTTGTATTAGAAATGTTTAGTGGAGCCAGGCTGTCTATGCTCAGGCTGTTAAATGCTTAGTCATCTCATGAGTTCTGCAGGCTGCATATAGGCCAAGGACAACTAAATAGAGACAGTTTGCAGACAGGAGGTGATTGTTATTATTATGATATGTGTAACTGTAATGGTAATCATAATATTTTCTTATGTGTAATGTCATGTCAAAATGTTTTTAGATACACACCACTAATCAACAGCCACACACCTTGACTTTTCCTCATGTTTTGACTATTGTTACGGTCAGCTGCAAAGCTGGCATATCAGGTGACGTCACGGTTTGACGTTCCTGTGTAGAATGGGCTAACCCAACCAAGTGATAAAATTGTATAGGCATTATGGTTCAGGGTCTTTCATACTTCGTCTGCCTGCGTGCAGGTCGGAGGTGGAAGAGATCTGGACGTGTAATGTTAATTTTACCTGTGATTCTTTGAATAAACCAGCACGGTTATTTTTTATATATCCAAGTGGTCTACTTCGTCTTTGTGAGTTCCTGGTTTCAAAGAGCCGGAAGAAGCTTAAAAATAGCTTATACATGCTACAGTCTGTTTGGTTTCTGAATATACACAGCTGCATTTGTAGAAGTCACTGCTATAAACATCAGCAATATTCAACATTTTAAAATCCATAATACTCTGTTCAACGTGTGTTTTTGTTCTTGAGTTGCACCTTCCATACTTTGATTACTAATTACATCCTGTTGAGGCTTTATCACAAGCCTATATCAGGAAATACTGATATTCCTGTTAGACAGCGGAACGATGTCACTGTGTTTGAGTGGGTATACATTATGAAGTAGCAAGGTAATTATGAATAGATGTATCAGGGTTGTATGACCTAATAAAAGATCATAGTGACAATGCTGTATCCTGTTGTGGCAGGACAAAGGTTGAGTCTTTGGAAAGGAGTAAACAAAGCTGTTGAAATATGTCAAGGACCATGTCTGTAGCAGGAGATGAATACTGACTGGCTGTCCTTAATGGAGTCAATGCTATATAACTATGAATTCTACATTGTAGTCAGTTTTTATTCTCCAGATACAAACTCAAATCTTCTGAATTAAAATATCTTACTAGGGAATATTGTCTCCTGAGTTCTAAATTCTACCAGAAATTCTGTCAGAAGACAAAATATTTTCCATACATTTTCAGTTTTGAAATATCCAAAAGCTATAACCTCTGTTGTCTTGGTCATATTTTTGACTGTTAATCTGTATGAAATAGCTGAATATGTCTGGTATGACAAGTACCTGTTTCCACTGCTGTTTGGTACAGACAAAGCAGGGCTATTTCCATTACACATTTCACACCTGGCTGCATCCAAAAGGGTTCCATTGTCACCTCTCTCCACTGGACAAAAAAGAAGTTAAGTATATTCAGACATTTATACAAAAAATAGGCAATTATCCATACCACTGGCTTTTGCTGTTAAATTTGCAGCAAGTGCATTCAACATTAAAAAATGTTAAATAACTCCATTCCAGCAGGTCATAAATTAGCCCTGTCATTAGTGACTCACCCAGGATACTGCCTGGTGGGCACTGGCATGTCCCCTCATCACTGAGACTACCAGGACAGCGAATACACCCAAACCCATCTTTTGTTACTGCCTGTAAAAAAAACAGCTTATCGATAAGGTATCATGACAAATAAAATTAGAAATTGTGCAGGAAGTGTGATGTGCACTGCACTATCTACAGCACAGTGTGAGATAAACTGTAATTTGTACATACAGGTTTGTCAGCAGGACATAGCTGACAAGTAATGGATGTCTTATCAGTGGTGAGAGTTTGGTATCCAGTTTTGCAAATACAGCTCAGTCCTGCAAAAAAGGGAACAGAATCAATACACAGTTAGTGTATTAGATATTATTTAATTTAAATCCAATAGAAATCAAAACTGAGTACTGTAAACCCATGTGCACACAACTGAAATTGTGAGTCAAGTCGCAGTCATAGCCTGGAAAAAGAGATCCTAGAGAAGTGACTGATTTCACTAGAAAACTAACACTGCTTAATGACTAAATTAAATTATCAAATTGGTATAGAAAGTACACACAGATATTTTTTAGATGACTGAGTAATCAAAGGTCACTTAACACTATAATTAAAGCCAGCATGAAATGGAGATGCCAGAACCTTCTGCCTGCTTGTAGAAACTTCTCATTTTGCTGCTCTACACTACTTCCCTGTTCTCATGTGTAAACCGTTTGCACTGAAGACAGGACACATTGATTGTACATGAACTGTACTTTGGTTCTACTGGATGACAGAAGGCAAAGACAGGAAATGAAAACTGTGCTGGTCTCTGCTTTATTTGAGGATTTTCTGGAACGTACCTGAAGTTCAAGATAAGAAGCTACAAAATCCAATACATGCTTAGTTTGGTTTTAATTGGGAAATTTAAACACTTTATTTTTAAATTCAATAGCAAATATATAGAGTAGTGATGAAGGCATGGAGAGACAAAGCCCATATGTGACATACAAAACTTCCTGCAATACTAATATATTGAATTAAAATCTAGCTAATCTTATTTCCAGTTTAGAAAGAATGATGTTGAGGGCTGGGCAGGATTTCAATATTAGCATTGTTACCATCAGTGGAACCACATCCTGATTATATCATTTTATCAGGTTATTGTTCCTCAAATTATCGTCACAGTGATTGTGGATAGGTTTTAAGTAAAGAGTAATGTATTAAAGTATAGTAAAGTATCACTGACTATTTCCAGCTTCCAGGTCACGAGAATTTGCTGTTTATATTTGTTATATACAGTAATAAAATATAACATACTGTATAATGTAAAACATATATCGTTTAATGCAAAAAAGTACTTTTATATTATTGATTTTAGCTCCAATGCCCAGACCTATTGTTGTCTTTGGTTGCGTGTACTGATTTGACTGCATAATAATCCAAATATCACACCATGGATTCAGTTCTAAAGTGGATTTTCCTCGTCTATTACAAGCCGTGTTAGCTCGGTTCTGAACTAACCTTCAGATTATCTTAGCCATTTATGCCTTGCTAAATGGTGCCACACTCATTGCAGTTTCTTACGTCGTGCGTGGCTGACCACCTCACAGTTTAAGTTGAGATATGTGAAAACAAGGCTATTGGCACATTTTGTTGACAGAGCAGCGTCAGAAACTCAGTTCTTCAGTTCATCTTATAGTGTAGAGTGAAGGTAACCGACCTGTTGTGCTCCGTCTCTGATCTGGACCGCAGCTCACACACAACAGACTCGAGATATCGAATAATTCTTCCACGCCGCAATCCGAGGGAGATTTGTAGGGGATGATAAACTGCTGGCAGTCAAGCAAATCTATATATATTAATAGAAATAATGTTACGGACACTCTGCATCTGTTAACAACAAAATGTAGCGTCCTCGTCGCCATGGTAAACAATGTGTTTCCTCTTTTTACCCTAACCCACAATCCTTTTCGACCAACGTAGTGACGTTACGACCAAATAACGTGTGCGTCGCAAAAAAGGAAAGAAATAAGACAAATTAATTGTATTTATTGTAAGTACCCAATCATGCTGAACGAATGACAAAAAGGCGCATTTGGTGCGTGTAACTAAAGCCAATGAAGCACCTAAAACCCCAAATTAATGACAGGGGCGTTATTACATTTTATTTTGTTTAAACTGTAACACATAGAGCATAGAGGGACAAGGCACTATCGTTTCACTAACTATCATTAGTGTGTAATAGTCTTTTTAGTTTCATCAACAATGAGTGTCAATCAACTTATTACCAACAGGTGCACAAGTGGCAATCAGAGGCATCCTTGGATTTGCTTCTCTCAGAAACCTTACAAGTTAAACCCCAGGTTGTAACAAAGATAAAGTGAGGTTTATTAGAAAGAATATATCATTTTGATTTGTCATATTAGGAAATCATTAACAATGGTGCCCTAGTCCCTGTGAAAGTGTGACAATAAGACAGCATGCACAATACCAGGACCCTGAAACTGAAGCAGCTAAATGAAACTGAGCCATCATTAATTGTTATTAAATAGACATGCCTATCTTATTGTGATGTGTCATAATGACTTCTGTGAAAAAGGAGAACATGTGACCCTGCAATTGGTGGAAGAGCTTATCCACGTGAACAACAAACTAACACAATTATTATACACATCACTAAAGTATCATCCAATCCAACCTGTACTCAGAAAATAAGCCCCCCTCATGCCACTTATATCAGTATAGAACATAATATTGTAGATGAGCATCCTGGAGCAGAGTATTTAAAGTAGCGACAAAAGATGACAAAATTTGACTGAGAGAGTGAGAAGAAAGAGTAGCCTTTTTTTGGAAAAGCAAAAGCATATTCACAAATTGTTAAAGAACATACAGAACATACAATCTCTGATAGCATGAATATTAACATTTTTAGAAGACAAACATTTTGAAACTGATTTTTATTTTAAACTTATTTGATTTTGTAACCACAGCCTTTTTTTTTGTCTGGCTGTTTTGTGATTCTAATGTAATCTTATGCAAATTACAGGCTATGAGATCAGAGGGGACTTTTGACAGGAAATGCAACAGCTGTGCAACTATTGCTTATCTTACTCATTTCCTGACAGTACAGTCTGTCTGCATAGCCATCAAGGCAAAGAGAAACTGCAGAGGGCAGATCAGTTAAGTAAGGTTTTAAACTGTAAATATTTAAGTGAAATGAGTTTTGAACAAAATAGCTTAGGTGTATATCAGAAGCCTTACAAAGTCAGTTGGAATTTTCATGTATGTTGTTTATTGGCTTAACCAGGAACAAGCTGTCAAGAGATCTGGGCCATTTAATTATAGTTCCTTTCTGGCTGAAGACTGTGTAGTCACTTTCTGTAGCCTGGATCAAGCCCTTGATGCCTGAAGAATTTAGATTATTTTTAAAGTGGTGTCTCATTTTTAATTTCTGTTAATTTCATTTATTTTAATTGAGGAGGTCTTATTTGCAGGAAGCATTTTTATTTGATCTGTAGATTATGCTATATTTGGACTGAAGACCACAATCTAAAAAGGGGAAGTTTTTTTTTATCAACTGTAACTGAAAAAAAAAGTGTGAAGATGTGATGTTGTGATATATTGTCACAAATAGGATAAAATAGGGTCTGTGTGTAGGCTATTCAACATGAAATGATTTACTCTTATTTCAGTCAAGAGATCAAAGAGGAGTTTCTTAGTGGATATGTATGTCTTCGCGGTAGCTCTTACCCCAGACCAGTAGATGGCGGCTTTACAGCTCCACCACATTTCAGAGCCGATAAAAGTAAAGGCAGGAAAGAGGAAAAGCACAGAAACTTTACTTTACAGTCGCTTTACAGTCTGTTAGGAAGAAACTCACGGAAAGTATTTCGTTTTGATGAATTATTTAAAAGAGACTAGGATAATGAAGATTTTTTTAGAGTTCCCCCTGCCTTTTCTACAGCTCCAGTCCAATAGATGGTGGTAATGCACCTATTAAGTAGTTGCCAACCGCCAATAATAACTACAAAGGAGGAGAATAAGAAGAAGAAAATAAAAGGGGAAGGAAGAGGAAAGGCGCTCTTTTGAGTGAGGCAAGATAATATAACATGCGTCAAGATTGCGATATCGCAGCAGCAACGACAACGCGTAGAAAAGCTTCCTGTTAACAATTATACACTGTACCCAGTAGTGGTGAGTATTTGTATTTATTTCATGGAGGAGGAAAACTTTTTTTCTACATTTCACCGTGGTTCCTGTGTCCCTTTCAGTGCAGCTGGATGACGCACCTGTTTTCTGACTCGTGGAAATGCTAAACATAAGACTAGAGTTTTGGCGTTCTTTGTGTTTTTCATTACAGTTTCTCCAGTTTTCAGATACCACCTGGCCTGGTACGACAAAATGACCATAATCATCCGATTGCAAGGCCTTGATGTGAAAGCAGGTGCTGAAGATATAAGGAACTTCTTTGAACATCTTCACATACCTGATGGTGGAGTGTACATAGTGGGTGGAAGACTTGGAGAGGCTTTTATTGCATTTACTTCTGAAAGAGATGCCCAGCTTGCCATGCGACACACTGGAAATTTCCTCAAAGGGTCTAAGGTGACTCTGCACATAAGCAGTATGGCAGAGATGGAGCATAGATTAAGGTCATTGTTAAGGAAGGAGAAGCCCTCCCCCACCCAGGTTACCCTTACGAAACCCCAGCCATCTTCAGAAGCACATTTGCCATCTTTGAATGCAAGGCATCCTCATCACAATACAGCAGATCGGCCACCAAATCAAAATACTGCAAATATACAACCTTCAACTCTGCCCTCACTCGATTCCAATACTGCATTTCTTCTTGGGGTCTGTACTGTCCTTCAAGGTCTACAGTCATCCCACCAAAGTAGCAACACTGAGGCAGTGCCTGGAGTTGTTCTCCCCAAGGATGACAGCACATGTGTTGAGTCTGATGATCTGAAGACACCAGGGCTAACTGAGAACTCAAAACCAGGCTATGTTAGGCTCTTTGGTCTGCCATCCTCGGCGACAAAGGAGGACATCTGCCATTTTTTCAGAGGCTTGACAGTACAGGAAGCCATAGTGAATGTGAAGTTGGGACTTCGTCGTGGCTGCCTTGTGAAGTTTGCCAACATACAAGATGCATGTGATGCTCTTCACTTCAACCAGCAGTTACTGGGAACCATTTATGTGGAGGTACGTACGGCATCTGAGAAGATGTGGACCAGTGCGCTGAAAGCGTGTGAAATTGCCTCAGCAGAATCCTCTTCAAGAGACAATTAACCACAGCCAAAAATCAACAATGCACACCAAGAAGCGATCTGGCAACAAGCTGCCATCTAAACCTAAAAAAAAAACCAGACTTGACTGTGACTCAGCTGCCTTTTCACCAAGCATGGAGTATATTGTTATGGTCAGAAATCTACCCAGAAAGATGACCAAGACTGAAATAAAAGAATTGTTTGGATGTCCAAACGTGAAAGGCAAAAATGTTCTCCACTTGCTTGACAAGAGAGGCAACAGAACAGACAAGGCTTTTCTAATCTTTGACCACATTGAGGATTACAACTATGCAGTTAGTCTCACTGGTTGTCATGTGGCGTCTGATGTTATTGAGGTATCATCGATCACTAAGGAGATGATGATGGACATGATGGCCAAAACCTATCCCAGGAATTGTAAGCATCATTTGAAGATGGACATGAAAAAGAAACCAAATCAACAAAAATCATATTCATTTAAGACACCCCAAGACCCAGCAGACTACAGCTCAGACATGCCTGTTTGTTAGAAACATGCCCGCAGGTGTGCAGAGAAGCCAAATTAAAAGACTTTTCCACAAATACAAAGTCGGGGAGGATAATATCACCTTACTGCATGATAGTGATGGCAAGGGAACTGGTGAGGCTGTGGTTCAGTTTAAATCGGAAAAGCTCACCGCACTGGCTCAGCGGCTGCATGGCAAGGACTTTCTGGGAGAGCAGGTGCTTCTTAGCCGTATAAATGTGAAGCAGATGGAGGGCATCTTGTCATCAAGCCACTGAGAAAGTTGAATGTTAATGATGAAATGCATTCATGGCTGAAGATGAATTGAGGAGTTTTTCCCCGTTAACTTCGTTTGACTGCATCAACCTACAGATTTAAATTACTTCATTTTAATAATCAATGTTGAATTGTTCTGCACATTCCTCTGTTACCATTTTATGTTTCAAAATAAATGTTTAATCACTGTTAGATGGCTCATTTATTAACCAAAGAACCTCAGCTACCCAGCCAGGAAGGGGGGAAAAAAACAAAACATATTTCATTGTGTTTTCTTATGATGTGTGGAAGATCATCAGTGTGAATAACCAGAGGAGTTTAATAGTCAGATACCAGGAGTGAGAACAACAGGATAATCTAAAATTGTAACTGGAAGATGCTACTGTCAAATCAGGATTTGGACCATCACATGAGATAAATTGGTAGTCAAGATGGGAGGCTGCAAGACAACGCCTGGCTACCAAAGCAGACTGGGAAGTGCTGATGCACATGAGGCTGTACAAAGATGTGTATAAGAGTTGGAAGTTTAGTTGCTCTCCAGAACAGCTCAGTTTGTTGTACTCTCTGCGGGCTGTAACAAATATACCAAGTGGATCAAGATTTCATTTCAACCATCTTTGAACAGAATCTTTCTTGCTCAAGTGGGTGGAGTTTCCTAATAGCTGGAGAGGGAAACATCTCCAACACCTGCCTTAATCTGACTGAAGCTTGCCCCAGAAGGAGAGGCTTGCAAAATGTCTCCAACACTTCTAAAGTCACATTCAGAATGCAATAAACATGTTTTTAAGGAAACTTTAATCAGTCAACTTTGGAGCATTTGATTTCACACATCTTTTTCTCCATTAATTATAACAGAACTAGACCTTGGGAAGTTAATGGTCAAACTAAAATGTTCAGTTCAAGCTGCTGAAAACATGTTCATGTGTAAAACGTCCTATACCCTTAACAATTCAAAAACATCTAAAAGGAAAAATACTACCCCCCAGAAAATTAACCAACTGTGCCTGAAAGCATAAAACAAAGTTATCTCCTGGATTCCTGGATGTCCGGACTGAAACACACAGGACGGCAATTTGAGCAGATAATGGTGTCGTGTCTTCTGAGTCCTGGCTGTCATTTGTAGTACCTGGTTCGAACATCAGAGAATCCAGATGGACCTGCTGAGGCAGAACGTCAGAAACAAAAAGGATGACAAATACTTGAGTCACATTTTTAGTAACAGGAATGAGTGGAAGGAGACAAACTTGATTTATGGTTCTGTGTTGAACCTACGTTGTAGGTAAGGTGTAGCCTTGTGCCCTACACCGCAACCTTACTGCTGTAGAAATCAGTGACGTGCGGTGAGGTTGACAGCTGGTGAGGCACTGACTCTTTTACAGTCAGATTTACAAATACAAATTGTCTGTTAACAGACAATGCGTTATGTTTTATATC